AAATGTACCACTGAGTATGAAGAAGCTATTTATTTTAACAGGCTTGCTCTCATTGCTTTCAGTATCAATGATTACTGAAGCTAATAAAAGTGTTGTTTAGCATAAACACCCTTCCCCCCTCCCCTCATGTTTGATGTATATTAATACTCTCCACAAATGGTTAATGGAAAAATTACCTTTTAGCAAGATCTACAGTTTAAGGTACTGTTTTCTGCAAGCAAAAAAAAGGAAAAAAAAAAAAAAAAAGAGAAAAAAAAAATATGTGAAAGGGAGGCTTTCATGCCTGGAGAGGGTTTGCAGCTGTAGCGTTTGGCAGCGGTGCCGGGGCACTTTTAATGGTGCGGGCGCTGTCTCAGAAGTTGCCGGCCGGGGCTCGCCGCTCGCCCGCCACCAGTTGCGCCCCGGGAGCGGGGCGGGCTGGCACGTGCGGCGCCGCCGGCACCGGCCCGAAACACAGCCCAGCCCTTCGCCCGTAACAGGCCATGGGGCTGTGGAAAGGACTGCACAGCGGGCACGCAAAAATATGCAAAGGAACACGAAGGGTGGGAAAAGCGTTTTTCCACATAAAACCCCCGAGAGCAAACTGCTTCCTCCGCTGTCGCCTGCCCCCCCGGTGTCACCTGCGCTGTCTCGAGATGGGAAATACATCTTTCCCTGGAGAAAGATTGATTCGGTCACCAGCCCCTTGCCCGGCTCTTGCCCACACCACTGAGTACTCCAGTTACTGCTCACGTGTGTGCTGGTGTCCATAAGCTACGTGCTGTACCTTGCTTACGCTCTCACAGTGTATCACCTTTCTCTAACAAAGTCCATTCATGTTTAAGCTGTAATTTCCTTAAAACTTACAAGCAGATTTGTTATCATAGTTTCGTAAATATAGCCTATATGTCTCATTGCAGTGTACAGCCAGGTATCTTTTGGGAAACAAAAGTAGGCAGACAAAATAGCCGAGTTATAAACTATCTACATCCTAACCTAAGAGAAGGTAGAAGATAACTGGTGGATATGTATTTAGGAATACGCTCAGGTATTGAAAGTGCCCTTAAAAGTTTAGCATTTCCCTGCAATGCTTGCAAACCAGCCAGGAATGGAGTGAAAGTACCTGAGTGGAAACTATTTCTGTGAAACACCACACACTTTAGGGCCTTCCTCTTATTTCAGAAGTCATCATTAACGTTGCACCACTCTGTAGCTTTATTACTGGCCATTATTGGTGCAAAAGAGAACAGTGTGATTCAATTGATAAGAAATGCTATTTACGGTGCATATGTTTTCCTCTGAGAAATACAGTATTTTTTAAGTATTTCAGTAACCTAGTATGTTCTTTGGTTCGACATAATCTTTTTTTAAACTTTTCATGACAAAATGGAAAAAGAATGTACTATGTGGGGAAGAAGCTATGTAAAAAATCCATTTTGGGCACACGAAATTAATACCATACTGCATAATAATGATATTGGTCTCAATATCTACACTTTTCATCTACGAAAACATTGCATAATTTTCCATAGCGCCTTCTCTCCTCGCCGTCCTGGGGGCAGAGCAGTTGAGACATAAGGTAGAATGACTTACCTCAAACTCCCAAGTGAGTCAGTAGCAGAAGAGAGGTTATGACTCATACTCAACGCTCAAGCTTGTGTTTTTCCCTCTGAAACTGGAAACATAGCAGAGGACAGTGGGAGGGGCAATAATTTAGCCAACCACACCCTGCCTTCTAAATATTTCATTGGATAATAAGTGCCTGTGAAGAGCAGATACCACCCAGGGTTGGTGTCTGGGGATTATTTTTTTTTCATCTTATCTATGAAACCCACATGGTAAACTCTATGGCGTCCAGTTTATCTTAAAGAAGCTGATGAGATGAGCTCACCCTGCCAAGGTTCAGCTGTGTAGCAGCCTACATAGAGTTTAAAGCAATGAAGTGAGTAAAAGAGGATCTTCAGCTGATAGTGCCATATGGCAATTGATGCAGTGGGAGATAACCCTGAGCAAACGCAGACTTTGAAAAAAGTGAGATCATATAGTCAAATACATTTGTGTATATATATACATACACAAAAAGCACAATTCACTGAAATAGCACATTAAAAATATTGTGCAACTCATAATACATTACATACCAAAGGCTGCGATGATTGTAAGAAGATAGGTCCAGATGTGGTCACTGTTAATGAGATACCACAGATAGGCAAAGTTCATTGGCATAAGCCAACCACACAGCACTTCCTGGTGGTACAAAATCATTCTAACAAATGTTACCCTTCTCCAAAACACCCTGTTTAAAGCCATGTAAATTGCCAGGTGCCTGAAGAGAGCTGGATGCAGCTGTGTTGTAGATGAGGATTTGTGTTCTATACAACACACCCACTGAAGTGCTGTGGGATTGACAGTGCCTTAGACACCAGCTGGTCTTAACAGGGTGACCAACCCCTTCTAGTCAAGGCAATCCAGCTCCACAGAGTACAAACATAGAAACAAATAACCGGAAGGATGCCTAAAATGAAATTAGAGACATGCAGATCTAACTCCTTCCATGACCAGAAATGGAATAAAGAAATGCATTCTCTTTTAGAGAAGCAATTGGTTCCAGTAATGCTGTACATTACCCTGGGAGCGAGAAGTCTTTCTACCGTAAATGATTCTTCCCCAGGTTTGATGTTTTTCTGCCACAGGATGGACTCCACAGTGGGGAGAAAGAGAATATGAAGCTTAATGACTACTTTATGCTGGCTCAAGCTGGCAATTCAGATTTAAAATCAGTGTAAACATGAATTTTGAATATGAAAAGGTATTTTTCTCCATTTTATTTTTCTATTTATAGTAAGTATAATAGTATAAGAAACATTTTGTTTCTGTAAAATATTTTCTAACACAGCAAAGATTTCATTAAAATTGACAAATTACGAAGTAAAACAAAAGAAAATATTCTGTCATTAATTATTTGTGATGTAATTCCAATGAAGTCCAAGGAGTTGCTTGAAAATGAATTCAGCTCAACAAGCTTTATCCTACTTAGGGCAAAACACATCACATGGCATGGTTTATGATAGTTTCAGCTATTCCTTAGCAAGCTCACTCAAGCAGGTAATAGATCTCACATGAAAAAGTAACAGATCATATATCGAGGCATGCAAAATGACGTTTCATCACAACAAAATGTCAACTAGTAATTCATTACATTCCTACAAATAAGTCAAGAAGAAATATTCAGTATTCAATTACAACTAAGTGTGCTGGATTGCAACAGTTAATTTATTTGCATGCATTCCCTTCGGTTATTCAGTTTTTCACTTTGCAGTTAAAATTGCACCCTAATAAAAGAACTTATGTAGGACTTCAGAAGAAGAAACTTGAAATTCAGCAAAAGTGAATGTGTTAAACTGTACTGATTTTTTAATGCATTCAAGATTAACTGGAACTTGTCTTGACATTAAAGGTCATCTCAGCGAAGGCAAATGATGGACAACAGCATCTTTTGAGTTATCAGGGCAGGAAGTTTAAGGTAATATTGGTTTAAAAGTGTGGCTGACTGAACACAGAGTATTGTAACATAAACTGTATAGAGACTTAGTAAATTTAGAATAGTTTAATGAATGTACATGAACCACTTAGTCGTAAAAATCCTAGAGGCTGTATTTATACCAAGCAAAAAAAAACCTAAGGCAAATATTTCCATTGCTTTTCAGGTTAACAAGGCTGCTTTTGCTTCTGCATCCTGAGCACTATCTGGATCTGGCATTATTCTACATTAGTATTTTATGCACATTCCTTACAATTGTGAGTATTCATGAAATTTACATTACCTTTTCTCAGCAGTATCAAACTAATTGCCAATATCAAATGACATCTGGAAAAATACCGTATCTAGAATTCTACAAAAATAAAAATATTTCCATATGAAAAGAATACCTAGTCGATCCTTCTGAAAAATATTTAGATGAAAAAATATTGAAACAAGCATATTTTACAAATAGAATAAATAATGCAGTGGAACAGAAGACTATGTTATATTTCTATGTGAGATCATGGTGTCACATCCAGAGATCTATAAAAATTTAGTTAATTTTGTGCATCTTTCAGTATGAGTTCATAATACACAGTACAGTTGCTCCTTTTGAGCTGCCAGTGAGTACACTATGAATGAGTATTAAAAATACTGTGTATTCCATGTTATATTTTCATAATATTGAATGCTCTTACTTACATATTGTGTGTTTTTTCCTAATACATATTCAGAGCATATATTGTAACAGCTCCTTTGGAACCACTAACATGTATGCTGTGAATGTGTATTAACAGCAGAATGCATTTGCATATTATAAGTCCATGATACTGAATGCAGAATCAAATCTTTGATAAAAAGTCATTGCTATACATACAAGCAGAAGTTATTTTCTCATGCTTCTCACTCACAACTGTGCCATATTGCCCAGTCATTTCTCACCCATATTTTTACAACTCATGAAGAAAAAAAAAAAAAAACAGTACTGCAACAATCCTGTGAAGTAGAGTTTTCTTGAAGTAAAATATTTCATGAGGTCTTTTTTCCTCTCTTTGTTCTAGCTGGTAATTATAATCAATATTTTCTTTAATTGCTGAATATATCCTCCTGTTTTTTTCATTTTCGCATCTGTATAAATGACTGCACTGAGGTCTGAGCATTAAATGCTCATTTGTATATGACACATAAAATACAGGTCATAGGAAAAACAAACATAAGAATAAACCTCAGTCAGTTCTACTAGTATTTTTAACTATCGTGATTGTTTGTTTGTATATTTGCCTAAAATAACAGGAATTTTTTTTTGCCAGCCAAGAACATACAATTCTCTAGATTGAACAGAACTAAAATTACAAAATAACTAAAAAACTTCATTTGGATCAAAAGGTTGTTTTTCTACATTGACAGATGGGCATTCTGGTAACTTATGCATGTAAAGATGGTAAAAGGCACACTTACTTGTCTAAAACAGGGAACTAAAGAAAGAGAGTCTTCTGCCTCGGTTTCTTGCTTAGCTAAATGAAAGTAATACAAATCTTGGGTCCAGGCCTGATATCATTCTGTGTCTACGCTCTCAGAGAAGGGATTTTCCCCACAAAGCAAAAGAAAAGCTAAGACCAATTTGGCTTTTGCTCAGTTCACTTCCTCATCCTTTAGACTTGATGGAATAGCTGCAAAGACACAAGAGGAAATTATGCATACCATTTCAAGGACTGCATAGTGATCATACTGACTATTAGTTTTAAAATACTTTCAGTTGTATTATTTTAATAAGCAGTACTGAAAGGTATTTTGTAGGTCTGATGCCACTGCAGAGATATTAGCTCCAAAAAGTATACAGGCAAGTACTCTGGCAACTAATGGCAAGTATAAACTACCAATCATATAAGAACCAAGTATTTATGCATGAAAATAATAATACCTCAGCTAAAATATTAATCAAATCAGAAAACAAAAATTAGATTCAAATCATCCCCCATATAGCTGGTAGTTTTGAATCACATATATGGGGGTGCAGTCCTGCCCATTGAATGATGGACACAATTATATTCCCCATTATGATGTGTAATATCTGTCACACATCAGAGAGAGAGTTGTGTGTATGTGGACATAAAGTCACTGGATTTTTAGTGTTTTCCCTTTAGAAGAAATGGTTACATTTTAGTTTAGTGAGGAAGCCTATTACACTGTGCAAATTCTCTTTTCCTTTTCCTGTGGTTTATTTCCAACATTTTAAAGTATTAATGAAAATGCTGTAAAACTCATAATATTAAAGTATAAATTTATTTAACATTGTTTTACATTATAAAAGCTATAAACAGGCTCCTGTAAACTTATACAAGCAGTTATTTTGAGGTCTGAGCTGTTTTCCTTTATTTTATAATTGTAAATAAAAGTAAGATAGTTTGTACTCAATTACTTTATAATTCTAATATACGAGTTGCTCTCTCTAAGACATTGTTTCAAGATACAAATGCCAGCTGTCCGTAAATTACCTTGATCATCAGTGATGAACAAAACCAAGTTAAATACTTTTCTGTTATTGTCCAACATGAGCTTTACATCTTCTCAATACATTATTTGGATTTTCAGTTTAATACGCTTTATTATAGTAAAAATAAAGTTCTGATAACTACCATCTACACCCAAGTAAAATTTAAGCAATTGTGGAATTGGAGCTTTCACCATGGAATCGCTGATGCTCCAGTCCAGTGTTCTAGTCCAGCCCAGGATCTCTGGCCAGTTCCCTGATTCTTGCCCTATTTTGTTGTGTTAGTAAAATAACTTTTTTTTAAAAAAGTCAAATTCTTTAATGTAATAGTGGTAAACCAATCCTGAGGTTGATCCAATACTTTCCAGAGTCTAGTTAAACTTTCAAGCACACTTTTATTGTAGGCTTCAAGAAGACCCGACACCTGTTTTTTTGGGTAAAAGGTATACTTTTAGTTGACATCATAAATATAATTAATGATTAAATCAAGGGAGTAGCACAAATGCTGCAGCCATTTTTTCTCAGGCATTTGACAACTGCAATGGGAACATGGGACGTTCCAGCCCATTCCGTTTTTCCATACCTCAACATCAGTCTGTTCTCAGGCTGGGATTAGGAGTGATCCTCCTATGATCACCCCATA